AAAGCAACCTTCAAGGCTAGAGCCATGTAAGCAGAAGTAGTTTGGGCTCTGCCTTTTCTTAAAATCAAACTTGAGTGTGGTGAATGAGCTTGCAGATGAGGCCACGTTGACTGTGTATGTGTTCCTTGTCTTGAAAAATACTGTGGCTACCCAGAATATGGCTAGCTAGTTCATCTGTGTTTTATCCAGTTCATCCTTACCAATTCTACCAATGAAAAAGTTGGGAGGTTTCTTAGAACGTGTGTTTTTCTCTGTTGGATACTGAACGTTATATACTCTTTGTAGGTGGTGGATTGAGGCCGGATGGTAAATCGGAACTTGATCACGGGAATGAAAAGCGTTGTCATTTTGAAGAAGGGAGGGCTGTGGGTTTCGCAGGTGCTTTCTGCCAGGGAATAAAGTAACCCCTCCCCATCCCTTTGCCCTCCCCAGTATCTATCTCAGTTGTGATTATGGGTGCCTCGTACGTTTCTTAGAGCTTGGGAAGAGGAAAGGTTCTTGGGTATTTGCCACTCTCAGCATTCACCTGGACTGTGAGTTCCTCGAAGGCAGGAGCCACTGTCGTGTTCTCTTTATATCCCAGATATCTGCCAGCACGGTGATTTTCTGTCCTGCCAGCTCTGTCTTCCTCCCTTTCTTCCCGCCTCTTGGAAGAAAACATTCAGTCACCACCTCCTGTGTGCCGTCATGACAGTTGTTCAAATATTTTTCCTTTCAAGATGGGGCTAAAATCAGCAGTGGTGCTATCATGAAGTAGCACATTCTCAGTACTGTGCTGGGAGTTGGGGGTTCGGGGAGACTGGGGGTAGGAGGTGTCCCCTGCCTTCAGGAAGCTGATAATTTGTCAAAGAAGGTAAGTGGAAACACCCACAAGCAGCGTGCAGTATGGTAAGCCCCGTGCTGGACGCACACCTAAAGTCTGCTGAGCGGAAGGGGCAGAGCAGGCTAACGGGCAGGGAACTGGGAAGTGCCATGTGATCTGGGTTTTGGTAACTCAGAAATAAGCCTTCAGCAGATTTGGACGGGATGGTGGGGGGGGGGGGGGGGGGGAGGGGAGGGGAGGTCATTCACACAAAAGGAATAGAACCCAACATGACATGACAGTATGTGTAGAGAGTGACAGGAAAAAAGGCAAAAAAGAAGACAAAACAAAAAACGTGGGTTTGTGTATGTAACATTTTAATTTTTTACAGGGAGCATATACTGCATATCACCTGGGTAATTTGAAATTTTTAAAGGAGAATAAAAGGGGGTTGACTCTCCTGAATGTGAAACTCGACCAAGAGAGGTATTCTGGTGTGCTTGTTCACGATCTCACGTAGAAAGCCCAGTGCGTAGGCCACTGTTTTCTCCTTAATGATCGGCCCGTGTGTTGCTGCCTTTGGCTGCTCTTGGTTTTGCGACCAGTCGAATGTGGCCGGCGCAGCTGCGTGAATGACAGAGCGTGGCAACCACGGGAGAAAACGTCTGGATTTTTATCTCAGACTGTTCTTTAGTTGTCCCTCTCATCCTCATAATGCCCTGCTTTTATTGCTGTTGTATGGCTTTCTGCCTCAGTTTCCCTCCTGTACTCGAAGCCCCTCGAGGGCAGAGAATATGTACTGTTCCAGTGGATCTCCCACACTGCTCCTGCAATGCTTCGTGCGACGCCTTTTGTATAGAAAGTATTCAGCAGATGGTCGTCAAGCAAGGGAGGGGAGTGCATCGGGGCTGGATTAGGAAGGACTCGAAAGCAGAAGGACGGGTTGAGTTTTACCCTGTGTTGTAGGTGGTGGATGGAGGACGTTAAGTGGTGTACATTCAGTCCACTTCACGGCCGGGTTGTGCCCCCTTCTAGTAAGATTGTGTTCTCACTAAGCGCCTAGTAGTGGCCTTGTGAGAAGTTAACTTACTGGGGTATCGAGGCTATCTTCAGAGCAGTCGGTCCAAAGTCAAGGCGTCATGAGGGTGGAGTCAGAGCCCGACTCCCCCACTTAGCAGTTTGGCGACTTGGGTGGGTTTCTGAGCATTTTGAGCATCAGTCAGCATCCACAAACTGGGAACAAGGTAGGTGCGAGGGTGACGCACACGAGCGAATAAGCACAGCGGGCTACGCGGCCCTGGCGCACAGTAGGTCTTCAGCACACGCTGTTGTCCACCTCGCTCCCACCTCATTGCATCTCTACCCACCACACAGTAGGTTTTTCGTTTCGCTTAGCCCTCAGATTAATATGTCCTCAGTTTGAGTGCAGTTTTTAAAATGTCCTTTATGATCATGGTTTCCATGTTATTTTTAAAAGAATTCCCGAGTGCCTGGGCATTTAGAATCCTCTTTATTTAGCATGTTTCCTAAGCAGCGGGCAGTCCCACGTGAGTGTCCCTTCGACTGAGTGCATGGGTAACGTGCCTCTGTACGGCAGCCGCCTAGTAGCTACAGAAGTTTCTTGCTTTATTCTTCTAGTGACGGTTGTATTTGCACTAAGAACTAACTTCTGGAAATCCGGCGGGGGACGTGCTATTTAATGCGATGCCGCCAGCCTGTTCATAAAGATAATTTTACAATCTGCCACGGATTACAAGAATTTTGGCCGCGCTTCGCCCTTGGCAAAAACCTAATTCCCGCTATCTTATTCAATGAACAATCCATTCTAAATTAAAAGATTATTATAGCAAGTAAGTAGCCTGCATGATGCCCCGTTAACGTTAAGATATCCTAATAAAGGGCTCCGTTTACTTGGAAACAATTTCTGTGGCCACATCCTTTTGACAGGTTAGCGTGCGGTCAAGATGTCCAGAACGGTTTCAGTGCCGCGTGGCAGAGCTGCTCGGTGTTAAGATCCCAGAAAGTAGAAGCGTTGTAGGTTTATACAAGATGCTGTGTGGCATGGCGCTCTGGACAGAGAAACCTCACATACGCGTTGCAAGCGATGAAAGCAATATAAACCAAGTGCAGTGACACTGCATAATAGTTCCAGGACCATTTAAGATCACTTTGAGGGGTGAGACCCTTCCCCTGTCATTGCTAATGCATGCAACAATCCTCCCGAGTAGATACTTCATCCCCATTTCACAGGTGAGGAAATAAGGCTCCAGAGAAGTTAAGCAAGCCGCCCCGACTCACACAGCTTATAAGTACAAGTCCAACTTCCCCAGCAAGACTGCAAGTCCTGTTTCGGAATCAAAAACAAAAACAAGTCTGCAGCGTTGCCACCATTAAAGATTCTCCATGAAAAACCAACAGTTTTTGGCACTTCACATGTGTGGATTTCACACTTCTTTAAAGGCCAAATAATTAATAAATAAACAGAGTGTTCTTAGCAAAGTTTTTCATTAACAAGACTCTCCTGGGTTAATGTTGAGATTAGCTTTCTTTTGGACCAGGTCCATATTCCTGTGGCATTTCGAGGTCGGTGTGAGTAGGAAGGGGAGAGGAGGAAAGGGGCATGTGCTGGTCCCCCTTGTGCCGAGTCAAGAGAGCAGAACGAGGGTCTGGAAAACTTTGCTGCCTGTCATTGCAGTAGTCGTAACTGTAAAGGGGCTTACGGGTTTCAGGTGATACTGTTGGTGCTGCCCACTTTATACGATCTTTTTCTAGATCATTTTTTCTCTGTTGTAGGAGACCTCACTCGTTCATTTATTAAAGACATTTACTGAGTACCTACTTAATAGGTGCCGGATCTACAGTCAGAACTAGATAGATTGTTTCTATGGAGCAGTCATAGCCCTAGACGGGGAATGAATAGTCCCCTAGATGAGTAATCCTCGTGTAGAGCAGCAGGGGGTATGCTGGGCATATGAGAAAATGACTCACTCTGGATGGGTCCCAGAAGACCTTAGGGAGGAAATACTTCAGTTGGGGCTTACAGGGATGAGTAGGAGTTTGCAGGCAAAGGAGAAGGGAAAGAACATATGGTCTGTGCAAAGGCATAGAGGTACGGAAAAGCATGATAGTGACCTTGGGAAGTCTCCAAAGTTCTTTGTGCTAGAATAGAGAAGCCGTCTACAGAAATGGGCTAGTAGGCCTGGGTACGGGCTAAGGAGTGTGTGTTTTTCTTACAGTGGCCAGGGACGTGTGGATGTGAGAAAGCAACATAATCAGATGTGGCTTTGAAAGAAAAGGCAGATGCCCCAAAGACGACTGAAGATTTTCCCTGAGAGCCTGTGGTAGGGGGTCTGTTTAGGTTGCCGTCAAGGGCAACAAGCATGGGTTCCATTCAATCCCATATGCACCTATATTCAATCCCGTCTACACCTTGAGCGTGTATAGACACAGACCCTACCTTTAAGGAGCTTATGGTCTGTTACACAAGGAGTCTTACTAGAGCCAGAATGTGGGCCGTGCCTTGACACAGGCAGAAGTAAGGCATCGTGGGCCCAGAGCAAAATGGTGATTCTCTGCTACGTTCCCGGCCAGCACCAAGCCATGCTGAGCGATGTGTTTATAACGCACGCTATCTATCTTCTGTTACCAGTTTGCTCTGTTGCGCTGTGGTCTTTCCCAGACGCTGGTCTGTGAGGTGAGCTCCAGGCTCCTGACTCTCTGGCTCACTCTTCACATGTTCCCTGCCTTGTGCGTGTTTCAGACGGGGTTTCGTGGAGGACACCCCCTCCGAGCTGGGCCTGGAAGGATTTTTTTGATGGGTCGTCCTAACCGTGAGCAAAACCTCCGAATGGCAGGACGGTTCAGGGAACTGAAAGCTACATTGTGCGTTTGGATGGTGGCAGAATGGATTCAGGCGATGGTGGAGGTGGTATGTCATGAGAACGCAAAGTTAGGGCCAGATGGTGGAACAGCATTGAATACTTTACTGCGGTGGTTTGACCTTTAGACTGTAGGCAGTCGGCCATTAAGGTCTTAAAGCAGTGGCGTGGCTAAGCCAGAGCTGTGCTTTATAGGTAGCCGTGGACAGGATGGACTAGGCAGAACAGGGGTGTAAAGTCCAGCTATTCATTCGAGAATTTAAAAGGTGATCATCCAGCATCTCTTTACCGCTTCGCAGAGAATGCACCACCAGAGACGCTTACTTCATTCATATTTATTTTCCTTCTAGACATAATTACAGCAAGGATTTCTCTCCAATGTAGAAGGACTGTGTTCCATACAAAGCATTGGGCGGTTTTACTTGCTTGCCTCTTTGGCCCTTGTAGTCTACTCCGAGTGTGCAGTCTGTCAGCTGTCCCGCTGAGAGGAAGGACAAGACGGCGTTTTATGGGGGCCATCCCTTGATAATGTTATCAGCTGCCGTTGACTGGTAGGAGCTCCTAGAAGTGGGATTTGAGTTCTCTCCAGGCCTTTTGAAGGGGTGCGAGGAGTCAGTGCCGACTTGCCAGAGGTTAACATAGCCGTCCTCTGTATTCTTTCTGCTATGGCGATTGCTTTTAAGCCCCTGAGTGGAATGTAGACACAGGTTCTTTAAGGGACTTGCCAATGTTCACCTCCTGAAGGCCATCAGTCCACCCTGTAAACCTTTAGATTGGGAACACACAGCACCAACCCCTCACAACCCAGAACAGGCTGTCCGGCCCTTTCTGGTGATTTTCCACATTGGTGCTGGTTTTTGGTCAATGATTTATATCAGGGATTAACCGAGACACTGAACTTCCTCATTGGGAGTGCTCTGGGGTTGGTTCAGATGCTGTTTTTTGTTTTTTGGTTTTTTTTTTTTGGTGACCCTTCCTTTATCCCCAAGCTTAGCTTTGTACCCTCCTCCCATTCTGGTTGTCCATCCCTGCAATTCAGTCGTTCATCAGCGTGTACTTACTCTTGAGGACCTGCTGTGTGCTCGACCCCAGGGGTACAGTGATGCACAGACCCCAGTGTGTGGCTGGTGCTCCTGTGGAACTTCCTGACTGGCAAAGTGGGAGGGGCAGGCATTTATCACGGAAGCATTCGGATACGTGGGCCGCGTCAGCTGTGGTGCACGAGAGGCACAGGCCCGGGCCGGGCGACTGGACTCCGTTGTCATGAGGGTCCTTCACAGGTGTAGGTTCCTTGAAGGCAGTGGCATCTTCATCCCCCCTGTGATGCTGGCATATTGCTTGTGCTCTGCAGGTGCCATCAGTTGTCTGACTAGACGGTGACTGACCAGCTTCAGTAGGCCTCCTTTTCCTCCCCGTGTTGCTGGTGCAATGGCAGCCATGTGGAAAACAAGGTTAATTGTTAACTCCTCCCAGGTTAGTTAATAAAGACCCTTGACTGCCTCCTCTGGCAGTGTTCATCCCTACAGACTCCCCATAGATTCAGGAAGAGTGTGTGTCCCTTGGTGCCCACATCGTCCCCTACACTTGTGCTTTTTGGTGTTGACTTTCAAGGCGTAAGAGAATTTTTCCTTGAGAGGAACCTCAGCTGACAGGGAAAAAAAAAGGGGGCCGGGGGGGGGGATTCGTGGCTGCGAAGTATTTTTACCACCACCTTAGAGAATCTTGCCCGAGAAAGTACTTCGTAAACCGTCTCTCTGTAGGGCGCCGCTCCTGTGTCGGAGGACAGAGCCACGTCCCGCGGTCTCGTCACCTTGCGGAAGGCGTCTTCTTTGCTTCTTTCCACTGGGACATCTTTCCCCTTTCTGTGTTCACTGTATGTTGATGATCCCGTGTCATGGTGCATTGATCACAGGGAGGTAGCAGCCCTGCTTCTGCCCTGTCAGTGACTCATTCCACAAACGCTGAGCTGCCTGGGAGGGGGAAGCAGAGAAAAGATGAGTACCATTGGTTCTTATTTTCAGCGACTTCTGGTTGGAGCCATGGCATGTACCGAAACGATAGAATATAAGGCAGAAAGGATATGAACCAGCAGCAAAGAGGCCCAAGTCAGAGGCTGTGGATGTTTAAGAAAAACGGAGGCCTCTTCTATCCAGAAGGCTCACGAAGGACGAGGCATTTGAAAGATGAGCAGAATCCAGATGTGCAGAAAAGAGTCAGGGCAGTACAGGGAAAAGCAGTTGTGCGTGCAGGTACAGAGCTTGGAAGGCTCTAGGTGTTAACAGGGAAGCTTCTGGTAGCCAGTAGGGCCATTGAGCTGAGTTAGGGTTTGTGAGGGGCCGTGGAAGGAGGCCCTGAGGTCGCCACCATAGCATCAGTGTCTATTTGATACGGCTTCGTTCTAGCAGTCTGGAGAAGTTGGAGTTTCCTTTCTGATTTTCTACGTGGTTAAGAGACGTGGGCGATCCTCAGGTATCCCTCCCAGCAAGGAGAGGGCCAGTGTGCAGTGACCAGAGCCCCTGCCCTGCCCCTGGGGTGGTCAGCCCTCCCCTGGTGTGAGTTTGCCTCTGAACCCCGACTACAGCCATTAAGAGGAGGTTCCGTGCCTTACTTCTTTCTTTGTGGCTCCCTGCCTCCGTTCAATTACAAAGTGGCTCTTACGCTGTGAAAGCCCAGTGTCTCTGGGCTACAATTTCTAGCCACACACCCTGCATTTGCTGGGCCTCAAACATGACCTTGAGGCCACATCCCATCACACACCCAGCCCACAACAACGTTAACCAGTCTTCTGTCTGGGCAAGGCAAGCCCCGTGCAGACTCCTCGCCTTTCAGCTGGAGTCTTGCTCCCTGTTGTCCCTTTTAGCGGGAGATTGCACGGCCATCCGGGGCACGGGAGCAGCGATGATGGCTCACTTTCAACGCTGTTATGTGCTTTAAGAGAAAGGAAGAATAAATAAAGGCTGGATTGCGGTGCCTGGTGAGGATCACGGTAGGAAAGTGACGAGTCGGGCTTTGTCTGTCTTTGCTGCTGCCCGCTGCCTGTGGGAAAAGCAAGGGCAGCCACAGCTGCCGAGCCTCAGGCTTAAAGAAGCAAGGGGCTGTAGGTGTCTAACGGACAATTTTATGCCCCAGAGTAGCTATAGTATAATGACACTTAGTGGTGCAGTGTGACATTGGCACTGAGCTCTATAAGCTATCACAAATATTGATAGAGAAGTGTGAAGGTGAGGCGTGAATGCTGTGGGCGCTGACTATCGGGTCAGAAACTCTTGGGCCCAGAAAGGAAGTGTGGGGCAGTCAAGGGAGCTTCAGGGCCGGCAGGTGTGGTTTTGTGGGGTTCCACGTTCCTGCTTCTGTGTGTGAGGAAATGCCGCTCTTCCGTGTGGCATGGCCTTCCTCCCATGCCCCTCCATTCCGTCTTAGCACTTCAGTTAACGATACTCACATTGAAGTCTTAGGAAAAGTGTTCCCATGCCTGCGGAAACCACTACCACACGAAATGCAACCGCAGCAATAAGATAAGAGCTCGGCGGATGGGCAGAGGAACGGAAAGGCATGTCGAAGCAAGTATAGAAAAAGCGAAGGAGGTGGGTACGTACGTAGTGTGTGCGGTGAGATTCTGCAAAAAAGAAAAAAAAATTCTGTACGTCTGAAATTTTTCATAATAAAACGTGGGAGAAAGTATCATCTGTCCTTAAAAGCCTACATGATGTTCCGGTACTTTGGGGACAGCTTTCTAGACTTCCTAAATTACTGTGTCCGATTGTCCGTGTATGTCATCAGACCCTCTTCCATGGCGGTAGTCCTAGTGTGACCCTTGGAGCTGGTTGGCGCTTTTATCTTAGCTTTTGTGTTGGCCAGCGACCTCCTTGTGGGCAGGCAGTCTGTCTTCTCTTTATATCCCTGATGCACCAGGCAGGCATCGTAGAAGGCGCAAAGAGGTGGCCCCCACCTGCCAGTAGGATTCGTTTAGGAATGTCACGCATGCTTAACGTTGCCATTACCTTTATTGATAAAGTCCTGTTTGTGACGTAAGGTTACTGGACCACTGTGTGTGCGTGTGTGTGTGTGCGCGCGCGCACGTGCATGCGCACACACACACTCGCGAGTGTTTTAGAAGAAAGAGAAAAATTAGGGTTGACCTTTCCAATTCCCAGCATGCTGATCACGACTGCAAAACAAGACTATGCTGTGTGACCCGAGGCCGGCTGCCGGTTACATCGGTGATTGTGGGTGCCCAAGCTCCCAGTCCTTGGCAAGGGAATCCTGGATCATATGGATCCACCCCATTTGGAAAGCCGTACTATAGAAATATATATAAATAGGGCTCAGATGTTCTTGTCAAGGTCACTGACCAAGATCCATTCAGAACCTTGTTGATTTCCCCAAAATGTGTACAACCCCGGGGTGCCTAATAGATACTCCACGGTCATTTGGAATGTCATCCTTGTTTCCACAATGGTAGGCATATTTTAATTCTGGGCAGATTTAGAATTGAAAACGGAAGATTTTAACAGAATCAAAGCTATAGTGTTAATATTTGACTCAGAGGATTTATACATATTTGATGTTTCAAGTAATTATTTAAAATAATTTGGCCCGTGCCACAGGTGAGCCTTTATTTCCAAATTAAAATGTGCAGTGAGGTAGTTGGTTTAGACTTGATTTGGGGGAGGGTTGAAGTCTTACTAGAATTGTAAGCAGTATTAGAGCATTTAAGATAATTCATTAGGTTTCTAAGAGTTGTTTAAGGGAAGGTTTTGGAAATTCAGTCAAACAATTCTAATAATTAAAAGAATTAAATATATTCTAAGTTAAATACCCGGTTTTAAACGTTTAAAGGACTTTCAATTAGCTTTGTAAAATGGAGCAAACATTATTTGAATGGCCCTTTGAAAGTGATTATAAAAATTATAAGATATGTAAGTTGAGCTTAAAACTTAAGGATGAACTAGATAGAGTGTTCACATCTGTTTTTGTTTGTTTGTTTGTTTGTTTGTTTTATGTTTACTTTTGAGAGAGAGAGAGAGAAAGCCTGAGTGGGAAGGGGCAGAGAGAGAGGGAGACACAGAATCCAGAGCAGGCTCCAGGCTCTGAGCTGTCAGCACAGAGCCCGATGCAGGGCTCGAACTCACAAACCACAAGATCATGACCTGAGCCAAAGTTGGTCATTTAACTTACCGAGCCACCCAGGCGCCCCTTGTTTTTTAAATAAATGAATAAAATATCCATTTTTAAAAACCAGGTAAGCCCAAATAGTGTTTCTGCGTACAAAGCTGCCCGCATGGTGATTAAAAAATTCACACAAAATAAAGTGATTAACAAACACTGTACTTACTAGATCAGGTGGGTGCTCAGAGTGAGTTGAATCTGAATTTAAAAGTCGAATCAGGGGCGCCTGGGTGGCGCAGTCGGTTAAGCGTCCGACTTCAGCCAGGTCACGATCTCGCGGTCCGTGAGTTCGAGTCCCGCGTCGGGCTCTGGGCTCATGGCTCGGAGCCTGGGGCCTGTTTCCGATTCTGTGTCTCCCTCTCTCTCTGCCCCTCCCCCGTTCATGCTCTGTCTCTCTCTGTCCCAAAAATAAATAAACGTTGAAAAAAAAAAAATTAAAAAAAAAAAAAAAGTCGAATCAGCGGTACCCCTTGTGAAGGCAAGAAACACACAGAAACCTCAAGTTAATTACCCTTCACGGCTTCAAACATGGTATGAAAGAAGGAACGCGCAGGGTTTCGAAAGGTGATCTTACTTACGCAAAGAACAGGGACGTGAGAGTCACAACAAGCTTCAGTGAAATGGTGGCTGTCGCGTAGTGCTCTGCGCATGCTAGGTGCTCAGCGAGGCCCTGCTGTAGAGAGGGTAATGTTGAGAAGTTTGATTTGACATCATTTAGCTCCGACGGGTATCGTTCGCACAGACCGCAGGGTTGTGTACGGTCAAATGTGGCTGACCTGGATGTTCATCTCCCCGCGGGACCACATGCCATAGGCAATCAGTTATGGAGGTTACGTGTCACACAAGTCACACAACTGCGTCTGCTTTCACAGAAGACGGGTATGGGGGCAGGGCACGTTCCTGCCATCTAGACAAGGTTCGGGTGAAATTGCATGTAATATAGAACCCTGGATTTATTTTGTTCTGGCCACTCAGACAGCCCTAAACAGGGCTCACAGTGAGGCCCTGGGTTGGAGGATGCTTGGCTCGTCTGCAGACATTGTCATTTAGGTCTGGCTTCTGGTAATGAGGCACTCCTGGCCGGGCTGTGCTGTCAGCGAGCCTTTGAGACAAATTGCAAAATCTGTACAACCATTTGAGAGATGGAGAAGCAGACCCGAGGACCCTACAGGGGATATTGGTAGTTCTCAAAAGTTTGAAACAGAATGCTCAGAGAAGCAGTTTGAACCTGAATTTAGAGGTCCTTTTCCTGTGGTTAAAGCGTAAGTTCAGACAAGAATGAGGATGTGAGAGGATCCTGACGGGCTGGAATGATAAACTTAATCTAACAGGATGAAATGCAGTAGCAATAAATGTAAGCTTCTGTATTTGGATCTGAAAAATCCCAACTGTGCACGAAAAGACTGGGCACAGAGGTAGAGAGATATATCTGAGGAGTAGTCTATATGAAAAAGACCTCTAGGAGTTCAAGTGACGTAAATTGACAGTTTATTGTGGGTCCCCAAAATCAAATGCAGTCTTAGGCTGCATTAACAGAAGTAGGGTATTTAGGATGAGGGAGGTGATAGACTCATTCTGCTGCGGACTTGTCACAGGAAGAGCGCCACTACGGTTCTGGGCTCCAGCCTATGAAAGGAAATTAGATAAAGGATGCTCACCGGATGGCTGTGGTAGTGTTCCAAAAGCTGCCACAGGTAACAGGAACAGAGGAAGTTTGGCCTAGGTACAACTCCAGGAAGACCTGAAAGTTGTTAATATCTGAGAGTCAGTCACATGCATATAGCCTCGTTCATGTGAAGAGGAACAAGGAGAACCTGGGGATGAAAGTTCTAAGAAGCTCCAAATAAGGAGGGTCTTTTTTGTGTGTGTGTGTGTGTGGTTTTTTTTTTTTTTTTTTCCTTTGAGAGAGAGTATGTGTGAGCAGGGGAAAGGGGCAGAGGGAGAGAAAGAGGGGGAGGGGGGGAGAGAGACAGAGAGAGAGAGAGAATGAATGAATGAATGAATGAATGAATGAATCTCGAGCAGGCTCCATGCTCAGTGCAGAACCCCACATACGACTTGATCCCATGATCCTGGGATCAAGTGACTTGAGTTGAAATCAAGAGTCAGACACTCAACTGACTGAGCCACCCAGGCGCCCCTTTTCATTCTTAAATATGGTTTAAGATAAAGTGGACTGCTTCCTTAATTCTGTAAGTGCTTGGTTACGTTTATAAGACTCTAGGCTTCTAGCGGTAGGAGCAGATGACCCAAAGGAATCTCCCAGCCCCAGGATCCCACAATTCCTTTGCCTTCCAGTGGTGACCCTGATCTGCATGGTCCTAACACAGACATGCACGGACAGAGCCATGATGACAGGAACCTTCTAGGCAGTGCCGAGGGAGTCTTCAGAATCCTCAGACGAGCTTTCCACAAGGACACTCTTGGGTTGATCCTCATTAGGGCTGCCAGTTTTTTACTGTGCCAGGGGAGATCTGGGGGGGGTGCGGTCCCTCTCTGTCGCCAGAGGCTGTGTTATTGTCTCATTGGTTCTTTCTGTGTGCCCAGCAGTGTGTCGGGTGCCGGGGAGGCTTTTGGGGAACAGACAGAGCTCTTGTCTTGTCTGAAGAGGTTCAGTTATGCAGAATGTCTGCAAAGTAAGGCAGCACAAACGAATTCTACAACCAGCTCTACAGCTAACAAATGTGGTTAACTGAACGAGAGGGCTTTTATTTCATGTAGTGTTATTAATACCTTTCCCCACTTAGCGTCAGGGACACATCCTCCCTTGACATTATAGTTCTTCGAAGTCAGATTACCTGTCTGACATCTCCGTCTCCTGGTGGGGTAAAGCCGGGATATTTTGCTTATTCTTGTAGGCATTTTCTTTCCCTTACAGGTTATAAAGCTTTGAGGTAGTTAAGTCATTTCTTTTTCTTTTTCATGAACATGATCTCGTGTATAGTTAGTTACTAGGACAGTAACATCTTTCGGGAATGTCGTTAGCCCCTTGTTGTAGGGTTTCTGTGGTCACAGCAGGTCAGTCTCCGGTGGCTCTCATGACTCTAACTGGAGTGAACTAGGGATGGAAACGTGGGTGCAGCGAAATGGGCATGGAAACTTAGACGGAAACAGATTTGTGGATTCCCGCGCAAAGCCTTGTGTTTGTTGCTCGTACAGGTTGACCACCTCTTTAGGCACAAACGTGTAAAGAAACAAAAAGGCACATTTCTACCCTCAGTTGCTGATCCTAGTAATTAAATGCCCTTCATCCTAATTTCCCCTAGCAAATATTTTTGCAAACAATCGTACTGTTTTATTTTTCTGGCATGAATAGATATACAGCTCCAACTTTGAAAATTTTTTGTTCTAACTTCTTAGCTTTCAGAGGCTTTTTTTTTCCTTTTTTTAAGTAACCCATCTTATTGTAAATTCTTCTTTCTTTCAGGTAGGAATGAATTGATAGCCAGATACATCAAACTCAGGACAGGCAAGACGAGGACCAGAAAACAGGTAAAATAACGTACCTGGACACTGTGCATGTCAGCGAATGGCCCGACGAGGCATTTTGGCTGCACTGGCTGGCTGTGCTTTGGCTCCTAGGAGCCCCCAACTTGAGTTCCCTGTAAGGACGTCAGTATTGGAGGTGTTTCCAATTGGCTCAGTTTTCACTGTTCATCATTTCAGTGACCCTTTACGATGTGGTCTCCAGAGTTCTTTTTATACACACATGGGAAAGTCTCACTGCCAAGGACAGTGTATGCACTGGTCTGGTACTGTACTTTAATACTTCTGTTTCTTTCCCGAACTGCGCATCTGTAAACGCTACAGACGCTGCAGGTGCAAGTACACTTGGAAGTCACGAAATTTTGAGATTTTGCGCATTGTAAAATCCTGGAACAATTCTGCATTAGTCATCATTTCGATGCAAAAGTAACACTGGCAGCCATGACTGTTGGCCTGAACATAATACTGAATGATGTGCGTCCAGGGAACTGTTGCTCCTTAAGCTATGGCTTTTTGTCAGTAGCTGCTGTGACTGAAATGAAGTTATAACTTAAATACCTTTGTGCAGAGTAGCGTCAGGAATTTTCCTCTGCCCTTTGTCAGGGCTCTGGCTCTCTCCCCGTTCCTTCTGACGTAAAGCGGTCCAAATCTCTGACCCAGTTCAGAACCGGAATGGATGAGCAATTCGTGTTTAGCTAAAAACGGAGAAAGAAAGAGAGAAAGGCAAAGGGGGGAAGAGCCTCGAACAAACCTCATGGGTGAGCTGTTAACAGAGCACAATTATTTTTTAATATTGACCTATGCTGATCTCTCTGGCACGGATTTTGAAAACTATCATCGTACCAAAAGGCAAGCTTAACTGTGGATCTCGTTAAGTATGAGCGGCAGACTCCGGTTCTCTGCTCAGCGATGAGTTGTTTTCATGAGTGTTTATGACGGGGAGAGCTTTTCTCCAGGAATGTTACATGTGCCCCCGCCAGGAGCCCGACTGCTGAGTCAGCACAGAGGGCCGTGGCTTCCTGCCAGGGCTCAGAGGCAGGGCACTGTCTGTTCGGTGCATGCTCCCCCCACCCTGTGACAGTGGACTGTGGCCCTAGGCAAGTCAGAGAATCATGTAAGAACAAAATTAGGGGGAGAACAAGTAAAAGCAGGAGCCGGATGGAGGGGTGACGATGATGGGGGAGTTCCCGCTTCTCTGTACTTTAAAAAAAAAAAAAGGCAACTTGCAAACAAAAATCATTGAAACTCAAAGATAAAGCTAAAGATAAAAGGATCTTTTGTTACCATCAATCCTGTTTTTATAGTCAGTATAGTGTTCGAAATGGAATAACTGCCTCTCAGTCCGAGTTGCTGAACTTTTCAATGGAGGGTTCTAAATTTCCGAAATAGATCCGGTTCCCAGCATACTGAAAGCGGTGGACCTGGGCTATCTCTCTGCTGGGTCTGTGAGCCCTAGTCCCGCGCCCAACCCCTTCACCGGGGACTCTTCTAAATTTAACCAAATGTAACCCACTGAAAGAGATGCAAATTTGTTTACCCAGTGGAATCATTGTGTTTCCGAAGCTGGGCTTGGCTTGGTTTCCAACACCCCGGCATCCTGGGGATGTTTTTAGGCAGCAGTTGGTGATACCTCTCCAATGTGAATTTGTTGTTCAGCAAATCGTGTGGTTTTCAACCCAGATTTTTAGCAGGATGGCTGGCTGGCTGTATTCACACTTTTCGCTTTGTAATAATATGCAAATCCACTTCACGCCCAGTCAGTACCCAAAAGAGTGGAAGGATTGAAGGAAGATATTTATAAGGGGGGGGGGGGGGGAAAAAAACCCCTCTGCTGACTGGGTCTGTCCATTTCTCTGTGAGATCTCATTTACATGTCGGTATTATTTTAACATTTGCTACAGAATCCAGAGCTCTTAATGAGATCAGAATATAACCGACAGCTTCGGCTTTTTGATTCTGCAGAATGTGCTAATTTATGGATGGTCTCTTCTAAATTGAGAAGGAGGGATTTTCCCTCCTGATCCTGAGAAGCTATAAATATTTTCATTTACCTCTAGCCCCACCTTTTAAATTTCATCAAGAAAACAACTCCACTCTCCCCCTCTCATCCCGTGCCCGTGATTTCTCCCTGGTGAGAAAACTAAAAGCAGCCTAACTTTCATCCTGAATCAAGTCACTGCAGTGATGACCCAGTCTGAAAAGCTTAGAGCAGCGCTGGGGGCTTGGTGTCTGGCTGGGACTGTGTATTTCCTAACTGCAGAGCTTTGTTGAGATGCAAATAACCTTCCCCCAACCCCCACCCCAAAACCCTCCCAAGGAGTAGCGATTTTATATTTGATTTCCTTTTTTTGTTTTGTTTTGTTTTGTTTTGTTTCCCCTCATAAACCCGAACAATGTAGGTGTCTAGTCATATACAGGTCTTAGCAAGAAAGAAAGTTCGAGAAATTCAAGCCGCCATTAAGGTACGTCTGGCTTGCCCAGTTGTAGGGGGCTTTTCATCTCCATGGTTACAGGCTTTTCCTTTGTTTTCCTCCCTTCCCCTACCCTGCAGGTGTCTAGTCACATTCAGGTTCTTGCCAGAAGGAAATCTCGTGATTTTCATTCCAAGCTAAAGGTATGCGCTTTCCTGCTTTTTGGCTTGTGGTTGCTATGCATCTCACTTCCTGTTTTCCATGGTGACTGGTGAATGCCTGGTGCTGGGATTCTCGTAACCTAGTTTCCTCGCATGTGAGAGCTGTTTACATTTCTTTGTGTCTAATCTCTGTTTCTGTACTAGCCTCACATTAAGCTTAGTGTGTGTGTGTGTGTGTGTGTGTGTGTGTGTGTGTGTGTCCCTAATAACAATGCAAATGCAGCAGAAAGCTGGTCTTGATAACTTTTCAGCTCAGAAACATGATTTTTTTTTTAACCTTCAAATGTCCACCAAACAGCCCTGGGCTGGGAGAGGAAAAAAAGTCCAGAGACACAAAGTTAGTGTAGAAATTGTAAAAAAAAAAAAAAAAAAAAAAAAGTAATAAAGTAAAATAAAATGCATCACTTCTAGAGTAGTTCTCATGATTACTTTAAAAAATATTTAGAAGTCATTTTTTTGTACTTGTTATATATTTTAGAGAATACTTATGAGAAATATGTCTTTTCATGTAATTTTTCAAGTATCCTTTCAAAACAGACAGTATTTTTTGCCAGATTTCTTCCACGTTGCTCAATATTGTTTTTTAAGGGTACAGCTCTGTTATTAAAAAAGAAATTTGAGGTGAGGCCTTTAAAAAAATCTCAAGAGATGGGAAGGCTCTTAATCAAATCCGTGTTTGCAGTTCCATTTCTACTTGAGTTTACTTTAATTGTTTTTTACATGTGTCTCATTTTCTAGTCTCTGAAAATATATTTCACAGCAAAAATGGAGGCATTGAGATTTTTAAAATGCAAGTTCTCCGTATTTTCTCCCCTTCCAAAATTTGTAGTAAAAGATAAGTGACTTTTTCTTTCCATAATGCCCCATTTTAAAAATGCAAAGGAATTATAGTTTACATAGAAGAGCTTTACTTTATAATAAAAATGAATTTGTGGCCCATATTGTTGCCCTTCCCACATGCCTTTTTTTGTTGTTGTTCCATTTTGATTTTTTCCATACATTAATTAAATTTGTTTTTGTTCTAAACCTAAAGAACGAAGTGCGATTTCACAGCACTGAATGCTGAACACTGGGATCCTTCCCAAAGTCCTCCAACTTTTTTTTTTTTTTTATGCAAACAAGGCTGGCTGTGGAGCAGGACTAGCGACCAGGAAGGAGCATTTGGTGGCCCTCTGCAGTGGGCTGCATGCTGGCTCGCTCGCACGTGTGGCTGATGGTGGCTGGCTTTTAGCTGACTGGCTGAGCAGTTGGAAGATTAAGATAACTTCACAGATCCTGCTTTTTAACCAAAGGCGCCGTCCTCTCTATGTGGATGTAACTCCCCCAGCGTTCGCTCAAGTTCTGACTCTGTATCTAGTTTCTCTGCGCTAATGAATTAATGGTGTTCAAACAAGTTTACAGACATCCATTCTGTGTTTCCATCCGCGATGTTATGAATTGCTCTATTTCTGTACCGTCTGTGTGGTTCCTACATGCTCACCCAGGGCACACAGCCCTGGACCAAAAGCCCTGTACGTGATGAATTAAGCTCTCCTGCCCAGAAGGGAGCCCCATGGGATATCGGAAGTACTCGTTTTCTTATTCAGGGATTTTGAGAGCCTTCCTCCGTGGAAACACTTTACCAGTACTTTATACGTACACATACATCATGCAAACACAGTTGTTGTATTTGTGTTCGTTCTTACTAAAAAAAAAAAAAAAAAGATGATTTTCCCCCTCCTTTCAGCCTTGGCCCACTCTCCTTTGGGACAGACACAGGGAGGAGGTGGAAACAGAGGCAGTAGGGTAGCAACCGGCTCAGCGTTTCAGCTCCAAGAACCACCTCCATCTTCTTGCGGTTCCTTTCCTTCCTCCCTACCACATTATTCTTGGGGAAAGGGAGGCCTTTGTTCTTCCCATCAGCTAATACCAATGGAGTGCTCCAGGCATGGTGTCCCTCACGGTGGGCAGTTAACAGTCAGCCCCCTATTCACAGAGCTGGCCGTGGAAATAGGAATGCGGAATAGAGGGCACTGTCGGATGAGTGTTAGCAGAAAGCACCCGGAGAAAACGTGGAGGGAATCCCAGGGACGGACTGCACAGCAACGGTGCTGCTGTTGGGGAATGCAAAGACCGAGTGAGTGTATGCAAAGTCTGTTACGTGTCCTCTCATTCAGTCCGCTCACTCCAAAGTGAGTTCCATTATTCAGATTTTGAGGGGTAATATTTAAGAAGCCAGGAGGTCAGTTGGTTTGCCCAAAGCTACCAAGCCCAGCACACGTCGCTGCCAAGATTTGAACTCCGGTCTTTCTGACGCCTACCCCACCGGTCTTTGAGGCGGGGTTTCATCCAGTGGAGATGGGAGAGTGTTCTCAAGCAGAAGGTCTTGTGCCAGCACGCGCCGTGTCGCCCCCCGCTCGTGTCCCTCGGAGCTGGGCGTGCAGTTCTGACCACCAGCCCTCTCTTCGGCACCCACACTTTAGAAACAAGGCGAATTGTGAACTTCGAGTCCTTGGTCAGAATGTGGACCTAATGTGTGATTGGCACTGTGGTGATTATCCGTAGTTCAGGGCAGTGAGGTCCTAGTCGCAGAGCCGCTGTGTCACCACCCAGAGGGCA